TGTCAGGAAGTGGAATAGTTTGGCAAGTGATGTAGTGGAGGCAGGAACCATACATAGTTTTAAGATGAGGTATGATAAAGTTCATGGAGCAGGGAGAGAGAGGACCTAGTATCATCCAGTGAAGAGGTGGGGCCAGGAGCTATGTCTCAACCCCAGCAACCACAAATAGGTGAGTACAGAGATGGATACAGATAGACAGATGAAGATAGAGACAGCCAATCAGCCACCCAGCTGCCTGGCTGCACATGGGTTATTATCGAGGTTTTTTTTTTTTATATTTCCTCGACCACTTGTGGCCACATCCACTTCAAAGTCACTAAACTTGGAGTTAGCATCACTTTCCTCTTACAAGGGGAGTTTTAATATGACATGACATCAGTGAATCCCTGGTGTTTGCCATGCTGTTTGCTCTAGCTGGTGCTCAATTGAACTGGTGCACCCACAAAATACTAAGTGGTCCCAGATTTTTTTAATACTGCACACACCGAGTGTTAAGACCCATTCTATGCTGGCCAGGCATCTCGGGCCAATCATGCCAGATTTGGAGGCAGGAAAAATAAAAATGTTGATCTACATTTGGAGAGCTAGCAGTAACAAGGTAGATCTACGTTTGGACAGTTAGGAGGTTAATTATCGTAATGTAGTTCTTTTATCATTTCAATTTAGGTACAGTGGACTCCCGAGTTTCGTGATTAATCCGTTCCAGAGAGCCTGCTGAAAGTCGAAATTGCTGAATGGCGAAACCATTTTCCCCATAAGAAATAATGGAAATAAAATTAATCCGTTCCAGACACCCAAAAATGTTAAAATAAAATATTTTTTTTCAAATTAAATAAAGATTTACATACTGAAAACAATGAGAAATCAAGTACATGTATATACAGTCCACTTTGCACAAATGTCCATAATCTTTGAAGAAGGCACCTTCCTCCATCTCTCTTCCTCCTCCTCCTCTGCAGCAGTTTCCTGAGCTGTGATCTCTTGCTGTTCCAGATGAAGCTCTTGCAGCTCTTCAGTGGTTAGCTCTACCCTGTGGTCCTCCTTCAACTCTTCCACATCCTCACCACTCACCTCCAACCCCAGGGACATCCCCAATGCCACAATAGATTCCACAACTGGCATAGGCTCCTTAGGGTCAGCCCCAAACCCTTCAAAATCCCTCTCTTCTACACATTCTGGCCACAATTTTCTCCAAGCAGAGTTGAAAGTCCTGGAAGTCACTCCCTCCCAAGACTTATCTATAAGGTTTATGCAATGGAGGATATTAAAGTGATCTTTCCAGAACTCTCTTAGAGTCAATTCTGTGTCTGAGGCCACTTCAAAGCACTTTTGAAACACTGCTTTTGTATAGAGTTTTTTGAAGTTTGAAATGACCTGCTGGTCCATGGGCTGGAGGAGAGGAGTTGTATCAGGGGGCAAGAACTTCACCGTGATGAAACTAAATTCCTCCACTATTTGCTCTTCCAAGTCTGGAGGATGAGCAGGAGCATTGTCCATTACCAGGAGGCACTTAAGTGGCAATTTATTTTCCAGGAGGTATTTCTTCACACTGGGGCCAAACACTTCATTAAACCAGTCTAGGAAAATATCCCTTGTGACCCATGCCTTTTTGTTAGCCTTCTACATCACACACAAATTACTCTTGGCGACACTGTTTTTCTTGATCACTCTGGGATTTTCAGAGTGGTACACCAGTAAAGGCTTCACTTTAAAATCCCCACTAGCATTACTACAAAACATGAGAGTAAGCCTATCCTTCATAGCCTTGTGTCCTGGGAGTGCTGTTTCTTCCTGTATGATGTAGGTCCTCTTTGGCATTTTCTTCCAAAAGAGGCCTGTTTTGTCACAATTAAACACTTGTTGGGGTTTGAATTCTCCAGTGTCTACGTGCTCCTTAAACTCCTGTACAAACTTCTCAGCTGCAATTTTGTCAGAACTGGCAGCCTCACCATGCCTTATCACACTGTGAATGCCACTATGCTTCTTAAATCTCTCAAACCAGCCTTTGTTGGCCTTAAAATCACAAGCATCACCACTTGTTGCAGGCATTTTCTCTACGAGATCGTCATGCAACTGCCTTGCCTTTTCACATATTATCGACTGCGTAACACTATCTCCTGCTAACTGTTTTTCGGTAATCCACATCAGCAATAACCTCTCCACTTCTTTGAGGATTTGTGACCTCCTTTTTGTCAGCATATCTACCCCTTTTGCAACAACAGCACACTTTATTTCCTTTCCTTTCGCCACGATCGAAGTGATGGTTGAATGGGATTTGCCATACATCCTGGCAAGCTCTGTAACACGCACTCCACTCTTGTATTTTTCAATGATTTCCTTCTTAAATTCGATTGTGTTCCTCACTTTCTTTACCAAAGGGCTTGCACTAGCTTTCCTTGGGCCCATGGTGACTTATTTAGCAGTTGCAATCACAAAAAACAATGGATTATTACGTATGAACCCGCGGGGTGATGGTCACGTGTTGGTAAACAGTGGCACACTGAGCGTGAATGGCATGGGAGACTGGCTTTGTGTGCGTGGTGACAGGTGGACGGGTACTGGACGGTCGCTGAATCACGAGTCTAATCACGAACCATGAGGCCAAATTTTGCCGAAAAAACTTCCCGAAAGTCATATTTCACGAAAGTCGATGCCGATGAAACTCGAGGGTCCACTGTATTTCTTTATAACTTTTATTTTTTCTTTTCCTTAACCCTTTCACTGTCAAGATCCCTGCTCACAAACTTGCTCTCAGTGTCGAAGAATTTTCAAAAAAAAAAAAATTCTTATGAAATGATAATCTTTTGCCGATGGTAATGACACCAGAAGTACAAAATTTGATGGCAAATTTGAGGAATTACACTTGCAAAGTTAGCGGTCTCAGCGATATATGTGCATCGGCGATTTCACCCACTTTGAACCCCATTTTCGGCCAATTCCATTGTTCCAGTCGACCGAACTCATAGCTATTTCATTAGAACTCCATTTGTTTTATTGGTTGAGCACAAGAAATCTCTCATTTACCGATTTCAACTACCTAATAAAGTGGTCAGAAATTGGCAGTTTAGCCAGTTTCACACAAATTTCAAAAGCTGCTAATTTCAAAGTAGGGTCCAGAAAAAACAATGCAGACATTCCTAGCACTAAAATAACATTTTCTCTGTTCATTGGTCATGTCTCCAGGCCCCTCTTATTTTACTCTTGCTTTGCATTTTGAATTTTTATTCACACAAAAAATAGATTTACTGTTATGCAGACTACTGCAGTATTGTAATAATTGTATAAATAATGTTAACCCATTCGTGACTGTGTATTAGACTGGCCAGTTGGACATGTGTTGGATGATGATGTCATTTGTTTATTCTTGAACATCGGCAAAAATCGAACATTTCCGCTATGTTAAGCTCAAATTCAAGGTACTTTTCATTGTGAAACCAATCACACTCATGCCTATTTCTGTAATATATCTTCCATTCTATCAAATGAGACTAAGAAAATGAGAATAAAACCATAAATACCATATGAAAATACACCTCAAAATTGGCATTTTAACCCTTTGAGGGTCGACAGGCCCTCTCCGAAACTTGTTCTCAGGGTCGGCCAAATTCAAAAAAAAAAAAAAATATTTTCTCTTATGAAAAGATAGAGAATCTTTTCCCGATCATAAGGACACCAAAAGTTTGAAATTTGATGGAAAACTTACGGAATTATGCTCTCGCAAAGTTAGCGGTCTCGGCTATGTTTACGCATCGGCGATTTTGCCCACTTTGAGCCCCATTTTCGGCCAATTCCACTGTACTAGTCGACAAAAAATATGAATATTTCGCTAGAACTCCATTTTTTCTATCGAATGGGTGCAAGAAACCACCCATTTATGAAATTCAACTATCCAGTACAGTGGTCAGAATTTAGCAATTTTGCCAATTTCACACACATTTCAAAAGATGCCAATTTCCGAATAGGGTCCAGAATAAACAAGAAAGACATTCCTGGCACTAAAATGACATTTCCTCTGGCCATTAGTCACGTTTCAAGGCCCCTCTTATATTCTTTTGCTTTCCACTTTGAATTTTTATTCTCACAAAAAATATAAGATTTACTGTTATGCAGACTGCTGCATTAGTGTAAAAAATGGTATAAATATTATTGGTGCACTTGTGAAAGAATATTAGACTCACCAGTTGATGTGTATTGCACGCTTGACACGATTTGTTTACTTTTGAAATTTGGTAAAAATCGAACATTTCTGCTACTTTGAGCTCAATTTCAAGGTACCTTTCATTGTAAAATCAGTCAAAATCATCTCAATTTCTGTAATATGTCTTCCATTCTATAAAATGAGACCAAGAAAACTAGAATACAACAATAAATACCATACGAAAATACAGTGCAAAGTCGCTGTTTTATTCCAAAAAAATGGTCAAAGTTTTTTTTTTCTCATTATGCACTGTGTGCTGCAGGATTTTTTTTAGACTGTGCACACTGACCACATAGACCCATTCTTTCATATGAAGGCCTACCAGCTTTCTCCCACTAGATTTGAGGGTGCTAGAATTTAGGCGTACTAGTACGTCAAAAACCCTTGGTCGTAAGCCGTACTAGTACGTCCGAAACCCTCAAAGGGTTAAACCAGTTATGCACTGCGTGCTGCAGGATTTTTTTTAATACTGCACACACAGATCACGCAGACCCATTCTCTCACTTGTAGGATTACCAGCTTTCTCCGCTAGATTTGAAGCTGCTTGAATTTTGTCATATTAATGTGGCACCAACACTGGCTTGTAACCCATAGTAATGCAACACCGACAGTGAAAGGGTTAATATTAGACTCCTTTCATTCATATCATGAGTGCCCAGTATGTACAGTCTGATTTATAATGGTTTTATCTTACTGTGCTGACTGCATTGGATAATATTTAATCTTGAATATGTTATGGTATTGTATAGAGTTAGATTTTTGGTACAGTATTGTATCGTGGATTTTACTTTGTGTTTGGCAGGGATCACCCTCCTTGAAGGACAGTATACTGTGGTCACCATCCCAGAGACAGCAGCAAGCCAGTACCAAACCAAGGGTTCTCTTCACAGGCTATAAGGATGCAAATGATGAGAAGATTGTCATTAGTTTTGGTATGATACTACATAGTAAATTATGCATTTAATCCTTTTTGTCATTTTCTGTTGATTTTATGTGATTTCATATCTCCAAGTACAATCAAACCCCAGAATTTATGTCCTTTGTAATCAGCATAATTTGATTGTACATTTTTACTGGTGACCATTTTATGGATATCTTTAACTATTCACATTGTTTCTTAATACAAATTGTCTTTTTGCTTGGTACATTACCCCTGAATTGAGAAATCACAGGATCTCATTCAAACAAAGTATGTTTTTTATGAATCCTCACATTAACCTTCAAACTGTCCAAATGTATATCTGTTTGCACACGTAGCGCTTCGAACGTAGATCTACGTTTTTTTTTTTTTTTACATAAACAATGTAAAATCGAACATAGATCTACGTTCAGAGCGCTACATGTGCGAACGCAGATCTACGTTTGGACAGTTTAAGAGTTAAGCAGATTAGAGCAGTATTGGAAGAGAGATGGCAAAATAAATTTGTAAATATAATTCAGACATGCAAAATTTCCTATTTTCTGCAGTTTCACCATTCATGTTACCTTGAGGAGACAGACCCATCCCCCAGTTAAATTATGGCATAGCTAACAAATGGTTGAAAAGATACACAGCAAAAGGAGACATTTATTAATACAACTTTTCACCTACATGAGGCTTCATCAAGTACAGTCAGTTTGTTACCTGTACTTGATGAAGCCTCACGTAGGTGAAATGTCATACTAATAAAGGTCTTCTTTTGCCCTGTGTCTTTTTTTTTTTTTTTTAACCAAGCTAACCCCCTAATGAAGAATAGGATTTTTTTCCCCCAATAACCCTGCCATATCCCACCAAGGCAGGGTGACCTAAAAAGAAAAACAAAAGTTTCTCATTTTAAATTTAGTAATGTATACAGGAGAAGGGGTTACTAGCCCCTTGCTCCTGGCATTTTAGTCACCTCTCATGACATGCATGACCTACGGAAGAAGAATTCTTTTCCACTTCCCCATGGAGATCAGAGGAAATAAAGAAGAACAAGAACTATTCAGAAAATAGAAGAAAACCCAGATGGGTATGTATATATATGTGTGTACCTACATGTGTAGTGTGACTTAAGTGTAAGTAGAAGTAGCAAGACATACCTATTATGCCACATGTTTATGAGACAGAAAAAAGACACCAGCAATCCTACCATCATGTAAAATAATTACAGGTTTCCGTTTCACATTCGCTTGTCAGAATGGTAGTACCTCCCTGGGTGGTTGCTGTCTACCAATCTACTACCTAGGAGAATAAGATTCAACTGTAATATACAGTCAGGCCCTCATACTGACTACCTTCACCATCTTCAGTCTTTGACTCAAGGAAGATGACGAACATGGTCTCCAACTGATCTGTAAACCTTTCTGGGTTCAGGACCCCTGATGGGAAACTTGTCCACAAGTTCAAAAAATTTTTTTGCTATTTTTTCTTATGAAATATTAGAGATTTTTTTTTCTGGCGGTTATAAAACAAAACGTGTGAAATTTGATGAAAAATTTATGAAATTATGCTATCGCGAATTTTGTTGTGTCAGCGATAATTACTCATTGGCAATTTTGCCCGCTTTGACTCCTATTTTAGGCCAGTTACATTGTTCCAGTCAACAAATTCTTAACTATTGCATTAGTATGCCTTCTGTTTTATTGATTGAGCACAAGAAACTGCCCATTCGACTATTTCATCTACCCAGTAAAGTGTTCAGAAATTGGTAATTTGGGCAATTTCACACACATTTCAAAATATTCCAATTTCAAAATAGGGTTCAGAATAAACAAAGCATGCATTCCTAGCACTAAAATAACATTTCCTCTGTTCATTAGTTATGCTCCTAGGCTTTACACATAAATTCCAAAGAAGATTTACTGTCATGCAATATTTTCATAATTGCATAAATAATATCAGTGCATTTGTGAATACGTATTGGACCCACCAGTTGGTGTGTATTGGACATGTGATGTGATTTGTTCACTTTTGAAAATTGGCAAAAATCAAACATTTCTGCTACTTAGAGCTCAGTTTCAAGCTGTTTTCAGCCTAAAATCAATGAAATCATCTCTGTGTAATATATGTTCCATTCTATCAAATGAGACCAAGAAACTGTGAATGCAACAATAAAATCTGTACAAAAATGCACTGCAAACTCGCTCTTTTAAACCAAAAACACAGTCACAATTTTTTTCTCATTGTGCACTGTGTGCTGTAGGATTTTTTTTATATGGTGCACACTTACCACATAGCCCCATTCTCTCATATCTAGGCCCAAATTTACTGCTTACAGCTTATCTCAGTGAGCTAAGCTCATCACATAGTACAGGTCGGCCATCACTAATCCGGCAATCAATAATCCGGTTTCATTGGTAATCTGGCACTAATTTCAGCTACCATAATTTCAAATTTCCGGGGTCGCCACACCAACCTGCCACTATTTTTGGGTGGTGCTGCTTGCCGAATAAGGCATTCCAACTTCTTTTTCTCCATATATTGTTATAACCAGCTCACTTTTAGCCCTAACCATGGTTCCAACAAATAAAAGAAATGCTTCTTCTTAAGTAAAGCACATACACTGTACAGTGTCCGTATAAGATAAGGTGGCTATGAAAATGCTGTCAGTTGCCATGAGCTCAGCTCATTAAGTAAGCTGTGACAGGTAAATTTGGGCTTATATATGAGAGAATAGGTCTTGTGTGGTAAGTGTGCACTATATAAAAATAATTCTGCAGCACACAGTACATAGAGAAAATAAAACTGTGAGCATGTTTTTGGTGTAAAATGGTGACTTTGCAGTGTATTTTTGTATGTTTTTTATGGCTGTATTTTTTTTTTTTTTTTTTTTTTTGTCTCATTTGATAGAATGGAAGATATATTACAGAAATAGATATGATTTTGATTGATTTCACTAAGAAAAGTACCTTGAAATTGAGCTCAAAGTAGAGGAAATGTTCAATTTTTGCCGATGTTCAAGAGTAAACAAATAACATCACAGTCCAATACATGCCCAACTGGCTGGTCTGATACACAGTCATGAATGGGTTGACATGATTTGTACAATTACAGTGGACCTCCGCCTTTCGGCGGCTGCAACTTTTGTGAAATCCGACTTTCGGCAACTTTTTTCGGCAAAATATAGTCTCACGGTTCATGATTGGTCTTGTGATTTGGCGACCGTCTGGACCGTCTGGTAAGTGTACGAGCAGCATCCCAGCATCAGCATGCACACAAAGCCAGTCTCCCGCACCATTCACACTCAGTGTGCCATTGTTTATCAGTGAGTGACCATCACCCCACTGGTTCATACGATACATTTCAAAATAATCCATTGTTTTTTGTGCTTGCAACTGCTAAATAAGCCACCATGGGACCAAAGAAAGCTCCTAGTGCCAGTCCTTTGGTAAAAAAGGAAAGAAACACAATAGAATTCAAGAAAAAACTCGTAGCAAAGTACCAAAGTGGAGGAGGAAGAGAGAGGGGAGAATGTGCCTTCTTCAGTGATTCAGTGATTCTACGATATGTACGATACTAAAGCAGCAGTTATCGATAAAGGCTATAGTGCCAGCCAGCAATAAGGTGTAGAATTAACAGTGTAGCAAGTAAGTTAAGCGATTAAGTGATAGAAAAACGACACAAAAGTAACTCTCCAGTGTTGTTGGAGGTGTATAGGGCCACTGATCATATGCCACCCTACTATCTTCCACCACCCTAAACCTCTGCCAGCATCTCCTCCATCAAACTAATTAAACTAACATCTCCTCCAAGGTAAGTGAAAATATTTCTCGTTTATAAATTTAAGTGTAAATATTTCTTATAAGTTATGTGCAGTGGACCCCCGGTTCGCGATACTAATCCGTTCCTGAGAGCTCATCATAACCAAAAATATCGGAAAGCGAATCAATTTTCCCCTTAAGAAATAATGGAAATCAATTTAATCCGTGCAAGACACCCAAAAGTATGAAAAAAAAAACTTTTACCATATGAAATATTAAGTTTAATGCAATAGAATAGTAATTACGATAACAAATAACAATAAATAACAATAAATAATGAAAGAATAATTGACACTTACCTTTAATGAAGATCTGGTGATGATTGATGGGATGGGAGGAGGGGAGAGTGTGGATGGTGTTAGCATTTAGGATGGGGAATCCCCCTCCATTAGGACTTGAGGTAGCAAGTCCTTTTCCGGGGTTACTTCCCTTCTTCTTTTAATGCCACTAGGACCAGCTTGAGAGTCACTGGACTTCTGTCATACAACGTAACTGGCAGCCTCCCCATGCCTAATCACACTATGTATGCCACTACGATTCTTAAATCTTTCAAACCAACCTTTGTTGGCCTTAAATTCACTCACATCACCACTAGTTGCAGGCAATTTTTTTACCAAATCGTCATGCAACTGCCTAGCCTTTTCACAAATGATTGCTTGAGAGATGCTATCTCCTGCTATCTGTTTTTCATTTATCCACACCAATAACAGTCTCTCAACATTTTCTAACACTTGTGGTCGCTGTTTCGTAATCACAGTTGCACCTTTTGCAAGAACATCTTCCTTGATTACCCGTTTTCTTGCTCACTATAGTAGAGATGGTTGATTGGGGTTTACTATACAACCTGACCAGCTCTGACACATGCACTCCACTTTTGTACTTTGCAATTATCTCTTTCTTCATTTCAACAGTCATTAGCACCCTTGGTCTCGAAGGGTTGGCACTGGGAGCTTTCTTAGGGCCCATGGTGACTTATTTTGCAAAAACAGGCACCAAAAAACAGTGATAATATGGATAATATGGAATGTACCGAATATATCCTTAGATGCGCGCACACTGGCTGGCTTGTAAACACTGGCACACACGGGGCAGTTCAGGCCACACATGGACACGTCTCGTACGAACCACATCGCATACCGGGTTTTGTATCGGTAAGCGAGGCAAATTTTCTGCGATATAATGCATCGGTTACTGGATTTATCGGATACCG